ATCGCAGACAAGTGCCGGCCGCGAAGACGCGATCGTTCAACATGATCCAGGCACATCATCTTTTGGTGACCTTCGTCTACTTTCAGCAAGTTGCGTGAATGCCGATCTCATCCGAGGCGGTGGGAAGATCGTCTTGATGTTGCCTGTGAGAGCAAAGCTTTCCATGCTTCCGCGGCAGCGAGGCTGAACTTTCGTCTTCCCCTTCAAGACAGGCATCCTCAGGACAGGAGCAGATTCCTTGATGCTCTGACGGTAGCTGTCAAAAAGAGAAGTTCGCAGTCTCTGGATGGTGTTCTGGCAAATTTTCTCTCCCTATTCATGGAGCCATTTTATATAAAAAGGATGAATTAATAGAATTTTATAAATTCTAACTTTCATCCAAAGTGCTCGATGTTCACTAAAATTACTTGTCATTTGGATATTCCTAGATGATGTCATATGTCCTGGATACCCGATCAGCTTGTTCCGTTAAAATAATGCTTAAGAATTTCAGTGTAATGAGATGTATTCACCCTATTTCGTGTAAGGTGATGATGTAGTAGAATTTTCCCACAATGATATGAGTTGAGCTGACGTTTCCATTGAATTTCACATAGCCTTGCTTTTCTTCGAAACTACCAGTAAATCAGTAATATGAGATGTATTCACCCTATTTCGTTTAAGGTGATGAAGGACTGGCCTGAGTCAAGAAAACTCCTTTATGTTATGAGATGTATTCCCCCTATTTCGTCTAAGGTGATGAAGGACTGGTTAGAGGCTACCAGTAAATCAGTGTAATGAGATGTATTCACCCTATTTCGTGTAAGGTGATGAAGGACTGGTATTATTTCCATTGAATTTCACATAATGAGATGTATTCACCCTATTTCGTCTAAGGTGATGAAGGACTGGTAGTCGAAACTACCAGTAAATCAGTGTAATGAGATGTATTCACCCTATTTCGTGTAAGGTGATGAAGGACTGGTAGTATGATTTTCCCACAACAATGATATGAGTTGAGCTGACGTTTCCATTGAATTTCACATAGCCTTGCTTTCCCAAAAGTTGTTTTCAACCTTGCTTTAATGATATGAGTTGAGCTGACGTTTCCATTGAATTTCACATAGCCTTGCTTTCCCAAAAGTTGTTCTCATACAGGATATGTGAAATTCAATGAAAACGTCAGCTCAACTCATGTAATTGTGGGAAAATTCTACTACCAGTCCTTCTTTACCTTACACGAAATAGGGTGAATACATCTCATTACACTGATTTACTCGTAGTCTCGAAACTCTACTTGCATACGAAATAAGAATTTCAGTCATCCAAGATCACTTAAGATGACTTATGGAGTAGAAATTGAATTTCCGAAGAAAAGGTAGTTTTCGAGGAATCTTTTGTTCCAGAATTGTTGAGTTTACTTCCATTTCGAGTAAAAGTGTTGGGTGAAGAGATACGAAGGTCAGTTCTACCAGAAGACGACAGCGGATTCCTCTTGACCAGCTGTTGACTGCCTTTACTGAAACATTCTCGATGATGCTGTTTCCGAAGTAATCTCATTCGATTCCGGTAAAAAGGTGCTAAGTTTTTGTCCGTCATGTGACGGACATCATCAGAGCGAGGTAACATCGTCACAACAAAATTCAAGCTAGCGAGTTAAGAAAATTTACCGAAAAATCCCTAAAAAGTGGTATATATACTCTACATCTGGCCTCTTTGATCAAGTATATAGTGATTTGGTTAGTTACGGTCATATTTCAACCCCGAAGCCTGTGAGTGTGTCTGTCTCTGTATGTGCATTTGCCTGTTTGTGTTCGCTTATGCACGAAACCCGCAGTGATGTTTCAATAAACCGCTTTATTGGGATTCGCTTGTGAGTTTTCTTGGTTATTTAGCTTGAATTTAGTTATGACGATGATGATGTCCGTCGTATGATGGACGAAATCATAACACCTTTTTTCTGGAATCGAAGGAGATTACTTCGGAAACAGCATCATCAACAGCTTATCAAGAGGAATCCGCCGTTGTCTTCTGGTGGAGTCGATCTTTAAATCTATTCACCAAACACTTTTACTCGAAATGAATGTTAGTTCATCAATTCACTTCTTTAGTTTCTGGTGAGACCAATTTACGAATTGGCTCCAACGAACTTTTTCTTCGCAATCAAAAGTTATGCCACAATAACTTGGATTATGCGGGTCACTGGTTTGACGCATGAGCAAGCTATTTTGAGCCAAAGTGATTGAGGCATTTGTCTCGAATTAACATAAACAGTTTAAAATTATCATTTCCGATACATTTTTTATTCTCAACTTGCCTACTGTTGCCATACCTTTTCTACTGCTCTGGCAATGCCTCTCATGACGAGCCAGATGAAGACTTAGTCGCAGGGCGAGGTTTCAAGGAATTCTGCTCTAGCAACAATTGTCACACAACGAAAATCTTCTTCCATCAAAATTCAAAAATAAAATTAAAGATGCACCATTAAAAAGTTTTTACTGATTCTTTGCTATAGCCTCTCATCGTATCCTCTGTCACTCTCTGGCAATTAGACCGTTTCGATTTCTCGAACAGAACAGATTCGAGTCCTAGTCGCGGTGTCAACTAGTCCCGGTCGCCAGCCCGGATGGGAGGAAATTGTCGAAACGCGATAAGCCGTGGAAATTGGGTAAAGGTGAGAAACTATTTGAGGACCTTATTCAGCCTATTTTACTTGACCCATAAAAAGGAATGCAAAGTGGGAAATGAATGAAGGCTCGAGGAAATCTTTTCTACGAATTTTGGTTGAAGCAAAGGTGTGCTTGCGTGTCTGGGCCGGTTATATGCTTAAGAGAAGGGGAGGACTTATCAACCCAAATTACATTGAACTCTGCTGCATATGGGAGGAGGAGCAGTCTGTATCTACCATTTTCGACTCGGTCGTCCGTATCGACAAGACTTCTAGTCGTCACTCCACACGTCCCGGACGGAAAGCATATGCTTTCTTCCACACGATCGGTGAATCCTCACGCAATTTTGACAAACTCTGACGACAATTGGTGCACAAGCAAGTCGTCTTTGCCCAGCTGAGGCGGGCTTTACGGCTGGCCTTGGAAATAAAACAAGTTGTGCAGCCCACAATTTGTTGGGAAAGCTGGTTTAATTTTGTTTAATCCTTTTCTAAACTCAACAGCGCGAGATACGCTCCACTCGATTTGCCAGAGGCTCATTCGGATTCCAAATTGTCGTTGTTCAGCAGCAGTATTCCTCATCTGCGTCCCAATGTTCTGGTCTCCAAGCAACATTGCCCAATTTCTATCGCTTTTTAGCCTCTCGGCACAAGACTCGACTGGTGGAGGTGTCCTTGTTTGACGCACTGTTGGCTTGTTTTTAGAAGAGTCGGCGCAATTTTCGAAACGACAAAAAGCCGGGATCGCAGAGCAACGATCCTATCTGTTGCCATGCGCACAGAGTACCAAAAGTATCGTCAACATAACGACAGTATAACATAGTATTTCGCCCTCAGGAGGGCTTCCCTGCTCAAATAAGTCTGACGATCTCGATTCGATGAAGGACTAAAAGGTAGTACAAGTCGGATCTGGCCAGAATACGTCGAGTTTTGCACAACGACAACATGAAAATATTAGGCACATTATGATTAAATATTATCCTTACTATATCTATCTGCATTAATGCATAACATTATATGTGTTTGTGTGTATGCATGCATGCATGTGGGGACAAAGAAAGTAAAGTGATAGTCCAGATCAAGCATAAATGCGAAGAGGCATCGGTCCTAAGAGCATTTAGTTGTAATTAGCTTTTCTTTTAGACCCAATGCGACTTGTCGTTATGATTAGGTTTTCTGGTGAGGTCGCACACACCTTTACTCTAATGGACAGTCAAGCCAAAACAGATAAAACGGAAAAATTGTCATAAGACCACTTGATCTCCATAAAAAATGTAAAGCTGAGCCACGGCCCTCGAATTTAGTTATCAAGACTAGCGGCTAAACACTCCGGATCTCGCTTCCAGTTAGTCGTTTGGAGCTCGAGGAAGAGGAGGAGGAGGAGGACGAGGTAAAGAGTTGCAAACTGAAACACACTATCGAAGATACGAAGACCAAGATGGTGTGGCTTTTTGTGTGATCTCAGTCTCCTTTTG